CTAGAAGCCACGCATTGCTGGAGCTGAGGTTTTGTATAGTGAGGGAGGTGATGGCTGTGCAGTGAGGAGGTTGTTGTGTAGTGAGGGAAGTGGGGAGAGGTGAGGTGAGGGAGGTGGGGGTTGTGTAGTGAGAGAGATGTGAGGTTGTTGTGTAGTGAGGAGGTGGGGTTGAGAAGAGGGAAGTGAGGGTTTTGTAGTGAGAGAGGTGAGGGTTTTGTGTAGTGGGGGAGGTGTGAGGTTGTTGTGTAGTGAAGGAGGGTGTGAGGGTTGTTGGTGTGAAGAGGGAGGTGGGGGTTGTTGTGAAGGAGGGAAGGAGATGCTTGTAGTGGAGAGAGGTGAGGGTTTGTAGTGGGGGAGGTGAAGGTTGTGTAGTGAGAGATGGGAGGTGTTGTGTAGTGTGAGTGGGGCTAAGAGTAGTGTGAAGGTGAGGATGTTTGTAGTGAAGGAGGTGAGGGAGGTTGTGGGTGAGGGGAGGTGAGGGTTGTTGTGTAGTGAGGGAGGTGAGGTTGTTGTAGTGAGGAAGGTGAGGAAGCAGAAGGAGGTGAGGTTGTTGTGAGTGAAGGAGGTGAGGTTGTTGTAAGTGAAGGAGGTGAGGTTGTTGTGTGAAGGAGGTGAGGTTGTTGTGTAGTGAGGAGGTGAGGGTTGTTGTGTAGTGAAGAGGGTGGAGGTTTGAGAGTGAGGAGGTGGGATGTTGCAGTGAGGGGAGGTGAGGTTGTTGTGTAGTGAGGCAGTGAGTGAAGGCAAGAGGAAGGGTTGTAGAAGATATGGACTGTAGTGAGTGGAGGTGAGGACAGAGGGAAGAGGAGGGGGGCTTGTGTAGTGAGGAGGAGGTGAGGGATGTTGTGTAGTGGGGAGGGGCAGTGTAGTGAGGGAGGTTGTAGGTGTGGAAGGTGAGGACATATGTAGTGAAGGAGGTGAGGAGGTTGTGAGTGAGGAGGTGAAGGTTGTTGGGGAGGTGAGGTGCAGGAGGAGGTGAGGGTTGTTGTGTGGAAGTGAGGAGGTGAGGGTTGTTGTGTAGTGAGGGTTATGGTGTAGTGAGGAGTGTGGGGTTGTGAGTAGTGAGGGAGGATGGTTAAGGAGTGAAGGAGTGTGGGTTTTGGTGTAGTGAGGAGGGAGGTTGTTGCAGTGGAGGAGGTGAGGTTGTTGTGTAGTGAGGGAGGTGAGGGTTGTTGTGTAGTGAAGGAGGTGAGGTTGTTGTGAAGTGAGGGAGGGGTTGTTGTGTAGTGAGGGGAGGTGAGGGTTGTTGTGTGTGAGGGAGGAGGGTTGTTGTGTAGTGAGGAGGTGAGGGTTGTTGTAAGTGAGGGGAGTGTGAGGGTTGTTGTGTAGTGAGGGGAGGTGAGGGTTGCTGTGTAGTGAGGGAGTGTGGAGGGTGGGGTTGTGTAGTGAAGGAGGTGAGGGTTGCTGGTGAAGGAGGGAGGGGTTGTTGTGTAGTGAAGGATGAGGGTTGTTGTAAAGTGAGGGAGGTGAGGTTGTTGTGTAGTGAGGGAGGTGAGGGTTGTTGTGTAGTGAGGAGGTGAGGGTTGTTGTGTAGTGAGGAGGTGAGGACTGTTGTGTAGTGAGGGAGGTGAGGAAGAGGTGAAAGTGAGGAGGTGAGTGGCTGTAGGAAAGAGGACAGAAGTGAAGGAGGTTGTTTTGGGAGTGAAGGTGAGGCTGTGTAAAGAAGGAGAGAGGAGATGAGGCTGTGTAGTGAGGGAGGAGTGGCTAAGGCAGTGAAGGAGGTGAGGTTGTTGTAGTGAGAGGGTGAGGGTTGTTGTGTAGTGAAGAAGGTTAAGGTAGTGAGGGGAGGTGAGGTTGTGTAGTGAGGGAGGTGAGGTTGTGTGTAGTGAAGGAGGTGGAGGGATGTTGTGTAGTGAGGGAGGTGAGGGTTGCTGTGTAGTGAGGAGGTGGGGAGGGTTGTTGTGTGTAGTGAGGGAGGTGAGGGTTGTTGTGTAGTGGGAGGGGAGGTGAGGGAGGGAGGGGTTGTTGTGTAGTGAGGGAGGTGAGGGTTGTTGTGTAGTGAGGGAGGAAGGTTGTTGTGTAGTGAGGAGGTGAGAGTTGCTTTGTAGTGAGGGAGGTGAGGGTTGTTGTGTAGTGAGGGAGGTGAGGGTTGTTGTGTAGTGAAGGAGGTGAGGGTTGTTGTGTAGTGAGGGAGGGAGGGTTGTTGTGTAGTGAGGGAGGTGAGGGTTGTTGTGTAGTGAGGGAGGTGAGGGATGTTGTGTAGAGAGGAGGTGAGGGTTGATGTAGTGAGGGAGGAGGTTGTTGTGTAGTGAGGAGGTGGGAGGTTGTTGGGTAGGGAGGGGAGGTGAGGGTTGTTGTGTGTGGAGGTGAGGTTGTTGTGTAGTGAGGAGGTGAGGGCTAAGTTGTAGTGAGG